TCATCACCACTCATTGAACGGATTCACAAAACGATAGATTTTAATAAAAAAAAAAAGTTTTGAAGATACACCGAAATATCAACCACTCGTACCTAAACGCAGACAACCTCAATAAGACAAAATAAACAACAGAAATTGGTTCACAAAAATCGAACCTTAGAACACGACCAACCTCGTCTTATGAGAGAGGATGAAAAAGACAGGTTCAACTGGGGATCTGGTTCTTTATATATGGTGGAGGAAGGGAAGGAGGAGGGGGGAGGAGAAGCCGAGGAAGAGTGGAGGGAGGGAGGTGGAAGGGAGGGAGGTTGGGGAGGAAGGGAGGGAGGGAGGGAGGTGGAAGGGAGGGAGGGAGGGAGGTGGGAGGAGGGGAGGGAGGAAGAGGGAGGTGGAAGGGAGGGAGGGATGGAGGGAGTTTGGGGGAGGAAGGGAGGAGGGGAGAAAAGGAAAGTAGGGAGAAGGAGGTAAGGAGGGAATGGATAGCTAGGGGGAGAGAGAGAGAGAGAGAAAGGGAATGAGGAAAAAAGTAACAATATAATAAGAAAAATAAAATCAATGTCCAAAAAGAAAATCAACATACACAAAAAGAAAAGGAAGATATTCGAAAAGTAGAGGAAAAAGAAAACGTAAGAAGTGGGAGTGAGGGGAATGGGGAGGGGAGGGGGAGGTGAGGGTAGAGGGATCAGGAATGTAATATAGAGGGGGGAGGGGATGGTTTAAGTGGGGTAGGGGTTAGGGGAACAAGGAGGGATGGGGAGGAGTAGGGGGAGTTAATCATTTAAAGGAAGTAAACGGGTTAAGGAAGTTGGAGCTAAATATTAAGAGGAAAAGAAAGCTTTTGAAGTCTTACACACACGCTCCCTAGTTGCATACGTGTTGCTTCCCGTGTGCCCATGTTTTCATTTTTGTGTGTACTGTTATCATATATTTATCTAAATATGAACTGTTGTCTGTTTGAAGATATAACGATTCTTTTTTATTATCATCGTCATATATTGTTATTATTGTTATGATTATCATCACTGATGTCACAGTTGTTATTATTATAATCCTTATTATCATCATTGTTAACATTTCATTATTATCATTATCATTATTATTAGTAGTGGTAGTAATAGTAATATATTTGTTGTTATTATCAGCACTATTATAATTATCATTATTATTATTGTTATTGTTAGTAAGATGATGATAATAATTATTTTCACTAATATCGTGATTATTGCCTTATGGTTATTATTATTGTTGTTTTTTTAAGCATCATTGTTATTTTATATTCATTATCATTATCTTTATTATTATTATCAGTATTACTGTTATTATCTTTTTTATATTATCATTGTTTTAATTGTTATCATGATTATAATTATTATTACTGTTATCATTTTATTATTATTGTTATTATTATTATTATTATTATTATCATTATCATTATCATTATTATTATTATCATTATCATTGTTATTATTATTGTTATTGTTATTGTTATTATTATTATTATTATCATCATTATTATTAGAACTATTATTACTATTATTGTTATTGTTACCATCATTATCATTAATGGGCGTGCAGTGACATTCAACGATTTGGGGAAGGATTTTCGGCAGGCTGGGAAAAAAATATATTTTTCTTCAAGGCTGGCGATACCGGCCAAAACTCTTAACTGCTGTTACGAAGAAAGGAGCCGGCCACACCACTTCATCTAACCGGCCATTTTACTATATTATGGATAGTTTGAACAAAAAAGCAATCTTAGACAAACGACGTTAAAAGGGTGCTCACGGTGAACCAAGCCGTTATACCTCGCCCGGTTAACGTAGTATGTCAATGTAATCCGATCGTCATCCTGCAACTGCAAAGGGATGCCGGGAGAAGTCGGATGCTGGGCCATCGATCCAACACACTTCGTTAAGAATCGCATCGGCCATGGCACTGCAGATGATGATTACTAATGGGATTATTATCATTATAGTTATTGTTGCTTTGGTATTATTATTATCATTATTATTATTATTATTATCATTATCATTATTATTATTATCATTATTGTTATTATTATTATCATTATTATTATTATTATTATTATCATTATTATCATTATCATTATTGTTATCATTATTATTATTATTATTATTATCATTATCATTATTATTATTATTATTATTATTATTATAATTATTATCAGTATAATCGTGATTATCATTACTATTATTAATGTCATTATTATCATTACTAGTAGAATTAGTAAAATAGTACAAGTAGTAGTAGTAACATCCTCATTATTACCATTGTCATTCTTGGATCAGTCGAAGCGTTTGATACCCCACACCAATACCAGCTTGCGACGCGGTGTTCCTTGGTATCCCGCTTCTGACTGCCCTGTGTTGGCCTACCCCAGCTCGACCTTATCCCAGTACAAAATACCAAGGGAGGGGGGGGGGGCTGGATAGAGAGACGCTATGAGAAACCCAACATTGCGTCGTAGTTACAGTGGTGA